GCCCTGGATCGACTCTGGATCGTGTTCCTGGCTGTGGTGGTGGGAAATCAGGGCTGGGGGGGGGGGCTGTGTTTGCCTCCCCCAGGGAACGATTCCTGAGGGGCTGTCACACAATTTAGGGGGAGTTTATTGAAGCATCCCAATTCCGGGGGGTTTCCTACTGAAGTGCCCACCCTGCCCTCCCACAGGACCCCTTTTCCCTCCCAAAAACCCCTAAAACCCCCCCAAAAAGCCAACCCTGAGGGTCCTGCTTTCCAGAGGGTTCCAGAGGCTCTGGGGGGTGGCACAGGGACACAGGGGGGTGTCACACAATTTAGGGGGGAGTTTATTGAAGCATCCCAATTCCAGGGGTTTCCCACCAAAGTGGTGCCCGCCCTGCCCACCTGCAACACCCACAGGACCCCTTTTCCCTCCCAGAAACCCCTAAAACGCCCCCAAAAAGCCAACCCCGAGGGTCCTGCTTTCCAGAGGGTTCCAGAGGCTCCAGAGGGTGGCACAGGGATGGGGGGGGCTGCGTTTGCCTCCCCCAGGGAACGATTCCCAAGGGGCTGTCACACAATTTAGGGGGGAGTTTATTGAAGCATCCCAATTCCGGGGGGTTTCCCACCAAAGTGGTGCCCGCCCTGCCCACCTGCAACACCCACAGGACCCCTTTTCCCTCCCAAAAGCCCCTAAAACCCCCCCAAAAAGCCGACCCTGAGGGTCCTGCTTTCCAGAGGGTTCCAGAGGCTCCAGGGGCTGTCACACAATTTAGGGGGGAGTTTATTGAAGCATCCCAATTCCAGGGAGTTTCCCACCAAAGTGGTGCCCGCCCTGCCCACCTGCAACACCCACAGGACCCCTTTTCCCTCCCCAAAGCCCCCCAGAAAGCCGACCCCGAGGGTCCTGCTTTCCAGAGGGTCCCAGAGGCTGCGGGGGGTGCCCGGGGGGTGTCACACGCTGGGCACGGGGATCTTGCGGCTCAGGTGCTCCATGTGGGCCGTGTCCGAGGTGTCCAGCTCCGTGTGGTACTTGGCCAGGATCTTCAGGATGGGCCGGAGCTTCAGCCACCACTGCTCCTTGGGGAGGCGGTGCCTGGGGGGGGGACACACGCGGGGGGTGATTCCTGGCGGGAGGGACACCCCGGGGAGCGTCCCCGGGCTGGGGTGGGACAAGGGGGGGGCTCCTACTCACGCTCAACACCATCACCACCG